TTTTTTTTTTTCGTTAAAAGAGAAAGAGCCTGCGAAACAAAAGAAAAATATGAGGGTCCAGCAATAATGTAGGGAAAATTATAAAACGACTCATCTGCCACAAAATCTCTCTAAAAGCGATCAAACTTAATACATATTAATAAACTTTTACAAATTTGTTTATACATTGTTGAGTAAATACATAAGAGGCCGATAGCGAATTAGTGGCAAGTTTGAAGACGTTGTAAGTAAGAGTAATACATGGGAAAGGTCTGACGATAGCAAAAAAGACGATTTTTCTTCAAAATTGCAAAAGAAGCATCGGATCTGACAAAATCAAAAATGACAGTTGCGACAAAAACTTAGGAAAAAATTCAAGCGAGGTATTGATAAAGAAGTGCAAAAATTACTTTCAAGAACCCTCGATCAAAGCTTAATTGCTCGATTTTTTATCAGTAACATACATCACAACAACAGAAAAAAAAAACGAGGTTATGCAATAAAGTCTTCAATAAACTTCAGCCTAATAAAATTAATAACTTTTCAAGAAAACTTCGACATAACATTTTTCTTTTCCCGCTTTTTAAATCAACAAAATTGCTTCTGAAATAAATCCAACGAACTGACAATTTAAATTGATGTTTATGAATATTGTAAAAAACGAGCTGTACGTATACAAATTTTTATGGACATACAATTATTGACACTATTTTCTAACAGACATTCGAAGAGCGAGAACAAGTTTATCATTTGTGTCAAATCAACGACTAATTCTGTTGCTTTAACCCTGCCCCATAAAGAAGCAAAAGGCTTTTCTCCAATCTTCATCAAGCACCCGACATCATAATCAATTGACACACCCCAGTAGAAAACTTCACAAAAATTTAGGACATATAGAGAGAGTGAAAAAAAAAAAAGAGGTAATATGACAAAATCTTTTGGCCAAAATTAATTTTGGCCAAAAGCATATGATCAGCAAATGAAAAAGGAGAAAAAAAGGAAAAAAATACACACATAAAAATATATGAAGATAAACGCCTGCACAACTGTTATCGACGAACAAAAAACCACATTCCTTCAAGAACAAACAGAAACATCTCTTTACTTAGCTTAATTTTAAAACTTTAACAGCCTAAACTGGTAGTGTATAAACAAAATAATGACGACCCCATTATTTTCAACAACAAAAAAAAGAAAAAAAAAAAAACGAAACAAGAAAGAAAGCAAGCAAACAAATAAACAGAAAAAAAAAAGAAAAAAAAGAAAGAAAAGGAAAAGAATATTAAAAACAAAACAAAGTATTTCCAAACTTTTTTTTTTTTACTTTTGCCTGAAAATGACCGACCAGATAGTTCAAACGGTGATAAGATAGTAACAGTAAGCATACATTTTGTTCAAAAGTTCAACATTTGTCGTTTTGGTCAATCAATCAGAATGCCGCAACACAAAATTGTTGCGATTGCTAAAAGTAGTTTTTTATAACAGAAAAGATGGACGCATTCAGTTCGAAATACTTGAAAAAACCGATGTAGAGTTACGCAAGTACTGAACGCAAGTTGTAAAATACATAAAATTTAAGCCACAGAATAGACATTGGAAAAAGCGTTTTTACCGTTCTGATTTTTCTTTTCACCGTTCAAACCGTCTGCAACAGAAATCTATCTTCGTCAACTAGTACCCACACAAATAAGTATGCAATATCCAGTTTGGTTTCCAATCGTCAACATATCTTTTCTTTTTCTTTCAATGACTCGATTTTTACGGTTATTTTTGGTTCTTTCATGTAAAAACAAAAAGAAAACTTATCAAAAATAACAAAAACTTCTTCTTTGAACGATCACTAAGTAAATACATCTAGGCAAAACCAGAGCAGTCAAAAAAACGGTGTCTTTTGGTTATTCTTTCCTTTTTTTTTGAGCTCTCAAACAAAAGCGTAATGCAAAAATCAGCAAAATACAGCTGCTGAAACAACGAGATAATACTGAAAACAATTAAAAAATTAAATATGGGAAAAAAGAATCGGCTGATACGTTTGAATTAGTTAGAAACTTACAAATTCCAGAACACTATAGTTAAATGGATAAAAGAAGATAGAAAAATATATGACTGTTATTTTCTGCAACATAACCTTTTTTGGCAAACGTTCAGACAGACGGAAATGTTGCCAAATGCTGCTGCCGCTGTTTACCACGTCTATACAGCAACTGCCATTTCTTATTGGGTGTTTAGTTGTCCATTTAACTGACCACAGTTACGGTGTAGTGTTTTGTTGAAAGACAAAGAAAAGGGTTCAGCGTTTTTTGCTAGTTTTTTTGTTGCTATCGTAATATTTAGCCAATGATATGTGCACAGATTTTCAGTGAATTTCACTTTTTTCCTTCAAACTTCCCGATTATTCCTGGTGCTTGAGAAGAAAAAAAAGTACGAGGAATCAGTTACCCTACCACTATCATCTAATCTATTGTGTTGGATAAATCGTTCAGTAGAGCTTACAACAATTATTTTAATTGGTTAACCTCTTTTTTTTTACTTTTGCAGAATTTGCATGGTAGCCGAAGGGCCGTTAACGGCAAAACAGAGTTTCATCGAGCTAGCAAAAGCGGATACTAGTGGCGATTATGATAAAGCATTTAAAATCGCCAACAAAAGTACCATTTGCTGCTGTTCTCTCGTTCTTTTTTTTTCATACTGATTTATGAATACCATTAATATTAATCGCAAGTCTTTTAAGCATCATTTTATACGTCAGTAGTAAGTTGTAAATAAAAAGTGAAACACAGTAAGCGTACGAGAAGTCAGAAGTCTTCCTAATGCACTTTAATATTTGAATTTAACTGTCACATATAGATTTAAAAATTATGCTTAAATGTGCATATTTGTTTGTTCGTTTTTTAATACATAGTCGTCAATAAGAGATTACAGCTTTTAATCATTAAATTTTTTACTTCATTAAACATGTCTTCTTGCTCTGATTTCATTGCCTTGTAATTTCAGTTTTACAAAAGTTCCCTAAAGAGACCATAGCATTCAAATGCAAACTGGTGGCACTTATACAGCTCGGAAAGTTCGAAGATGCGTTGGCGTTAGCAAATAGAATTCCATTTCATCAAATGGGGTAAGATGTTTTTTTATTTTATATCGGTTTCTTTTTATTCGAATTTGCTTAACTCCTAGTTTTTACTTTTAAATTACAGTTCAAACAGTAATTCGTCAATAAAATGTTTATTGGGACCTTCATCTGTTTCTCCGTTTACTCATTTTTCTTTTCTTATGCTAATGCAGATAACTGATTTCTCCGAACTTTGTTTTATTCAGAGACTGCACTTTTGAGAAGGCTTATGTTCAGTATAGACTTAACGACAATGAAGGAGCATTGGCAACTTTATCAAAGGGAGATCCAGATGATTACCGTTGTCTGGAATTAAAAGCGCAACTACTGTATCGTGCAGAAAACTTTAAGGAAGCAGCCGACCTCTTAAAGTTGGAACTAACAACAGTTAAAAATGCAATGAATTTTTTTTTTTAAACTGGATTACTTGTTAATGTTTGGTATTTTGTTGGTATTTTTGGTAGTTTACTAATTACCACTAATCGACTAATCTTCGCAAATTTGTTGTAGGAAATTATTGAAAGATTACTCAGATGATTATGACGAAGAACGTCGAACTAACTTGATTGCTGTCATTGCACAGTTGCAGGCTATAGGCGAAGAGCAGGTGGGGATTTTGATGCGCATTTGTTCCAGTACTTCTGATTTATTCCGACTTGTACTTTTGAAGAAGTTCTACTGATCCATGCAAATTTTTGCAAATATCTGTGGAAATAGAATGCTTTGTCGTGTTTTATATTATATCAGTAACTCCTGAGTAACACTGGTTCTATCCAAGTCATTTCTGAGACTGTTTTAGAATATTACCAAAGAAATGGAGACCTATGAACAGTTTTATAATGGAGCTTGCTATTTTATCGAATCTGGGAATTTTAAAGATGCCTTGAAATTGTTGGAAAAGTCCGAAAGTATGGAGACTTAGAGTTTG